GGAGGGGAGAGAAAGAGGGCTAGGATGGGGGGGGGAGAGAGGGGGGGCAGGGGGGGGTTTGGAATGTCCGACTCCCGGGTGGAGACACTGCCCTTTGCAGGAGTCACGTGTCCCCAACGACCGGCAGTCGGTAATGAGGGTTGGTTGGTTGAGGAAGACGGCCCCCGGTTCCTGAAGCAGGGCAGAAATAAATAAAGGTTAGGGACGTCTCGGGCAGTTATCGCCGCGTTGAATCCCTCCGTCTGCAGGAACGATCTCCCACCGGTTATAATAACCGGCGGTAACCGATAGTCAAAGTTGGGCGCCGGAGAGCGACAAATCGCCCGCCCATGCCTTTCGATCGTTGAGCAGCGCCCGCGGCGCGCGCGCGCCGCGGTGTTGACCAACGACCGCGCCACTGGAGGCTCCCACGCCACTCGCGGCAATCCGCATCGAGGCCGCCCGTCGGCGCAGCAAAGGAACTGCGCACTTCTGGGCAGCGCCCAGAATGCAGGGAAGGCCTTGGCGCTTCTCGCCAGCCAGGCTGACTCGGCAACCGGCACGCGAGCCGACTGCGCGTCCCGAGCCCACGGATCGGCGCCGTCGCACAGGCCCGCCAGCCGCCGCACAGCTCCAGAGAGGCCACTGGCGTTGTGCTGCACTGCCTGAAGGCGCTGCTGAGGCTCTGTTTCAGCTGAAGCTGCCCCGTGCGCCGCCGCAAGCACCGCGTAGTGGTCTCGCCCTCTGGAGAGCCCCAGCACGGCCCCTCGCGGCCACTCGCGCCGTTGCAGCAGCTCCGGCCCCGCCACTCCGGCTCCCGAGCGCGCGGCGAGCACGAGGAAGAGCATGCGCATGGGCCAAAATCAGTTACTCCGAGTTCCGCCGCGACTTTTTCCCTCTGTGCCGACCCGGCGCTCGGTTTCCATCGTGTCCGCGACCGACGTCGGGGCCCCTATGTCAAGATTTCTGATCTTCTCACTGGCGCTCACCGGGTCGGCGGCGCAGGGGTTGACGGCGCAGGGGTCTGATCAGATTGGCACGCTCGAACTCGGTATCCCGAAGCTCGGCTTTTCGGAGCCGGGCTCGCCATCCTTCTTCACCGTGCTTTACAACGCCAGCCGACAGCTCCAGCTGTACCTCACCATCCTGTCGGGCAACGTCGACTTGTACGTGTCGGCCGTCGACCCGAAGCCACAAGGCTTTGAATGGTCCGGTGGCAACAGCGACTACTCGACGCATCTCTACACTTCAGACAAGGCGGGCCTCGAGGCGGACTCGGTCACGATCGAGGCCCGGGCGCTCTGCGGAGACGCGGGCGCCTGCCCGGAGGAGGTGCACGTGGGCGTCGTAGTCTCGCCGCTGGCGGTCGCGGCGGCCCTCTTCCAGCTCACCGCCACGCAGCTCGACACCGACTCGTCCGCCTCTTCCGGCACCGCCGTCACCTTGTCAGCTGGCCTCGCTCTCGATGGCTCGCTCGCAGAGACGGAGGAGGCGCACTACATGTTCGTCGTGCCGAACGCGTCGGACGACACCGTCCTCACGCTCACCGTCATCACCGCGGGCGACCCGGACCTCTACGTCTCCGTCGGCCCCGCCCTCTCCGACCCAGCTGAGCAGCAAGTCTGGCCGACGGCGACAAGCGCCCGCTGGTCGGGCAACGCATTTGGCGGGCAGCGGCTGCTCGTCCCGGCGGCGGAGCTGCGCGAGGAGGCCGCCGGCAGCTGCGAGCAGCCTTCGGGCTGCGCCCTCTTCCTCTCCGTCGTCGCCTACTCGCAGACAGGCCGAACACCTGCCCCGCCTGCCCGCACCAGAGAGGCCCCGTGAGGAGGGGGCGGGGGGGGGGGGGCAAGTGGGAGGGGGAGGGAGGGGGGGGGAGGGGGAGGGGCGTTGCTGCCGGGGGCGGGGGCGGCGGGTCCCGAGAGGCGGCGGGTCGCCTGGTGCTAGGCTACGAGCTGCTCGCCGAGCAGAAGTCCGCGGTGCACCCGACGGTCTTGCGCGAAAACCGGCCGGCGTCCAAGCAGCTCGAGGCGGACGGCTGGGCCTTCTTCGACTACCCCGTGCTCGCAAACGCGACGGGCGTCCTCCTCACGCTCACCCTCCTCTCGGGCGACGCGGACTTGTGCGCCCCCCCCCCCCCCCCCTCCCCCCCAAAGCCCGGCGCGCGCAAGAGCGCCGACGGTGCGGCGCCTCCGCGGCAGGTTCGCCTCGTGGAGCCAGGCGCGGCCCGGGATCGGCTCGCTCTCGGACGACACGTACATGTCGCAGAGCACCGAGGCGGTCGACAGCATCCGCATCGAGGCTGGCGGCGAGGACTGGCCGACCAGCCTGCCCGCAAAGCTGCACGTCGGCGTGCAGGCCTACGCCGCCGCGGCCGAGTTCACCCTGCTTGGCGCGGAGCCGGGAGGCACGGCGGCGACGGTGCTCTCCGCGGGGCAGCCGCTGGTGGCGGAGCTGCGCGGCGGCGACTGGCTCTGGTACTCCTTCACGCCTGCGGCCGAGGGCGTGGGAGCCATCACCTTCACGCTCACGCCGCTGTCGGGCGACCCGGACCTGTACGTCTCACAGGAGCCAACCTTCTCGGCGTCGGAGCGGTGGACGTGCGCCGAGCCCCTCTTCGGCGCGCCGACTTGCGCCTCGTCACGGACCAGGTCGTCTTGCTGCGCCACGGACCAGGTCGTCTTCTTGCCGGGCGACCCGCTCTACTGCACGGCCTGCACCTACCGCGTCCTGGTCGCCGCCGCAACCTACTACACGAGCTTCTCCATCCTCGCGCAGGTGGGGTCCGTGCCGGGCGGCGGGTCCGTGCCGGGCGGCGGAGGCAAGGGCGGCGGCGGCGGCACCCCTGCGCTGGCGCCGACAGCGCGCCCCTCCGGGGCCATTGGAGTGGCGGCCGTACGCCCCGTCACGGCGCTGATCCCCAACATACCGACGCGCGGCAGCGTCAGCGCGAACGAGTACAGCTTCTACCGCGTGCCTGTCAGCTCGACCAGCCGCTCGCTCACCGTGCGGCTGACGAGCCTCTCGGGCGACCCGGACCTGTACGCGTCCTTCTCCGAGCTGCGGCCGACCGAGCACACCGCCGAGTTCTACTCGGGTGTCGGCGACGCCATCTTCCTGTCGCACTACGACCCGCGCTTTTGCAACGGCACGCGCGAGGGCGACGCGGGCTGCTCGCTCCACCTCGGCGTGGGCGGGTACATGGTCAACGCGTCGTACTCGCTCGCGGTCTCGTTCGGCGAGGAGAGTAAGCTGAGCCTCATCTCGGGCCAGCCGCAGGAGGGCAGCCTCGAGGCGCACGCGTGGCAGTACTACACCATCGCTCTCGGCGGGGGGGACGTCGACCAGATCGTCGTCTCGCTCGATGCGAGCTACGGCGACCCCGACGTGTACATCAAGGCGTGCCCGCCGCCGCCGCCGCCGCCGCCGGGCGGGCACGCCGGCGACGACGCGTGCCCGCTGCCTTCCCCGGAGGACAGCGGCTGGTCGGGCACCGCCTCCGGGGACGACATGATCCGCGTCGCGGACTCGACCGGTGACGGCTGGTGCCTGCAGTGCACGTACACCATCGGCGTCGTCGCCTTCACGCGGTCGGCCTTCACGATCACAGCCACCAGCGGCGGACCTGCGGACCACCCGACCCGCCTGCTTCAGCAGGGCGTGCCCGCGCACGCTTATGTCGGCGTCGGCGACTACGTCTACTACGCGGTCCAGCTGGAGCCGGCGCAGGACGTCTGGGTGCAGCTCACCGCGAACAGCGGCGACCCGGACATGTACTCCTCCTTCGTCACGACGGCGCCGTCGCGGGAGGACTACCAGTTCGCCGCGCGCGACCCGGCGGCGATGGACGAGCTGCACATCTCCCACTCGGAGGAGACGTACTGCAAGAAGGACGGCCGTGAGCGGACGCCGTGCGTGCTGGTGGTTGCCGTGTACGGCTTCGAGCAGGCCGATTTCTCGATCGTCGCCATGCAGACGCCCGAGGCGCCCGTCCAGCTGCAGGACGGGGCGCCGCAGCAGGTTGCGAAGCAGGGCATCGGCGAGTGGCGCTACTTTCAGTACACCGTGGGCGCCCTCCCGCCCGCCGAAACGCTCCTCCTCAAGGCGGGCAAGAACTGCAAGTCGCACGACAAGTACCTCGGCCACTTCGACGATCTCGCCGCGTGCGCCTCCGCGTGCGAGTGGGAGGAGGACTGCGCCTTCTTCGAGTACGGCACCGGCGACAAGGTGGGCGAGTGCTACGCCAAGTGGACTGCGTCCGACTGCAAGGAGGGGTGGGAGTACGCGCCGTATAACTTTTACGCGCTCACGCAGACAAAGGGCGCCTTCACCGTCTCCATCTCGCCCACGATGGGGGACCCCGACCTGTACATCTCCAAGGGGCGCACGCAGCCGACCGAGGAGGAGCACGGCTGGCGCGCCGTCTCGCCCGGCGCTGGCGCCATCCGGGTCGACTCGGGCGACCCTGACTGGTGCGGCTTCTGCACGTACACGATCGGCGTGCTCACGCCGCAGACCGCCTCGGCCTACTCCGTCGTCGCCTCCACCGGCGCCAAGGGCACCGTGCTCGAGGACTCCAAGCCGATGCTGCGCGTGATCCCCGCCGGCGACGGCGAGAACTACCGCCTCTACGTGCCCGGGCAGGGGGAGCAGCGCGGCCTCGTCTCGATCACCGTCTCGGCCACCGCCATCTCCGGGGGCGTGCGGCTGTTTGCAAACACCACCGGCTGGCCCAACGCGACGCACCACCAGTGGGCGTCCGACCCGTCGCAGCCGGCCGAGGCGGGCGCCGGCGCACGGCTGCACCTCGACGACGAGTGGCCCTTCTACCTCCGCGAGTGCGTCTCCAGCTCGCCCAACTGCGTCCTCTACTTGCGCGCCGAGGCGGTCGGCACAACCGACGCCTCGATCTCGATTGTCGCACAGATCGAGCGGCCCGACTCGGGCCTCTTGATCGACTTCGCGCACTTCAAGCCCGGCGGCAAGCGCAAGCGCTGGTCCGACGCAGAGAGCTCGTGCAGCTCCTCCTTCGACACCCAGGGCGGACACCTCGCGCGGATCGCAAATGAAGACGAGCAGGCGCTCGTGCAGCGGCTCTGCACAAAGCAGGACTCGGGGGAGCGCGGCTGCTGGATCGGCTTCACGGACCCGGCAAACGAGACGGTCTGGGCGTGGAGCGACGGCGATGATCCGCAGTGGCCGACTACCTACACGAACTGGGCGCCGGGCGAGCCCAACGGCGGCCTGACCGAGTCCACCGACGCGGCGAGCATGTACGCCGCAGGCCCCAACGTTGGCAAGTGGAAGGACACGTGGGCCGAGCCCCCGCAGAAGCGGCACTACGTCTGCCGCGTGGACGAGCGCAAGCCGCACGTCTTTGGCTCGGCCGCCTTCGGGCCGTCGCTGCCGACGACGCCGCTCCTCACCGCCCTCGTCCTCGCGGATCCGCCCACCGCCTGCGAGCCGATCAAGCTGACGCGAGGACCGTCCGGGGAGCCCGTCAAGGCTCCGCTCAACAAGACTAAGATGACGGTCCTCATCAAGCGCGGCGACTGCGACTTTGTGGTCAAGGCGCGCAACGCGCAGGCGGCTGGCGCGTCCGCCGCCCTCATCTACGACTGGGTGTCGGGCCCCATCCTGACGATGATTGCGGGCGACAACGACGCGAGCGACATCGACATTCCGTCCATCATCATCACCAAGGAGAGGGGCACCGATCTCGCCACGAGGCTCAAGAACTACATCAACTCCCGGCTGTACGCCACGCTCCGGCTGCCGCTCGAGCGCGACGTGGCGCTCTCGGCCGGCATCCCGCTGCAGGGGCATCTCGAGCCGCAGGGCTACACGCTGCACCGGCTGACCGTCTCGCACGCGTCACGCATCCTCATCTCGGTGTCGGCCAGCTCCGCCACCGGCGACATCGACCTCTACGTCTCGTCGGATGGCACGCCGCCCACCACGACCCACTACGGCTGGGCGGCGAGCGCGCTCGGCGCCGACTTCCTCGAGCTGCGGCCCGACGAGGAGGGGTACGTCGGCGGCGACGCCACGCCGGGCACCTACATCATCGGCGCCTACAACGCCGGCGGGGACGAGGCCACCTACACCATCGTCGCCACCGTGGGGGGCACTCCCATCCTCGCGCCGGCGGGCACGCCGCTCTATGGGCGCGCCGCGCTCGGCGAGCCGATGCTCTACCGCTACTTGCACGCGCCCGGCAAGAACGCGTCGGCGCTGCAGATGGCCGTCGCCGCCCTCTCGGGCAACCCTGACTTGTGCGTCTCGCGCAAGGCGAGCGCGATGGAGAAGCTGCCGCTCCTCTCTGGCGCGACCGACGTGGCTGCGCGCGAGGCGGCCCAGAAGGAGACCGAGGCGTTCCGCGCCGCCATCGCGGAGCACTGCACCTGGCACCGCGCGCTCGACGGTGTCGGCACGCTCACCGTGCGGCACGACGAGCCCGAGGGCGGGCCGGGCTGGTACTACGCCGCCGTCTTCACCGACGACGCCTCGGCCCAGTTCACCTTCACCGCGCGCGTGGTGGACGGCAAGGCTGTCCCGCTCGAGCCGAACCAGCCGGCCTCTGGCGGCGCGCCGACGGGCGGGTGGTCGTACTACGCGCTCAACCTGGGCGACGACTCCGGCCGCCCCGTGGAGGAGGTGAGCCTCGTCCTCTCCGCCACGCTGGGCGAGCCGGACCTCTTCGTCTCGTTCAAGTACCCTTGGGACCTCTTCGGCGAGAAGCTGCCCGGCCGAGCCGACGCGGAGCACGACGCGGCCAAAGTCGGCGAGCAGGGGGCGTACTCCCTCACGCTGCTCGCCTCGGACCTCGGCACCGCGACGAGGCTGCTCATCGGCGTCCAGGCCGAGGGCACGCCGTGCGCGTTCTCGCTGGCAGCGACGGTGACGCGAAGGGCGGCCAAGGGCGAGGGCTCCGGCGGCTCTTGGGGCTTCCCGCCGGCCTCCCCGCCGCCTCCGTCGCTGGAGCCGGTTCTTCGTCTGCTGCCGGCGACGCCAATGGTAATGGACGTGAGCGACGCCGGCGTCAAGAACTTTGAGTACGTGGTGCCCTCGCCGTCCACGGACCTCGAGCTCGTCGTCACGCCGCTCGGGGGCGAGTGGGAGTCCGACCGGCCGCCGCAGAGCCTGCTCCCTCCCAAGCTGCTCGCCGTCACCGGCGACCCGAACGAGGGGCGCGCGACGCCCGCCCACCACGACTTCCCTCCACAACGAACCCTCGAGAGCAGCACCGTCCGCGACGCCAGCGAGCGCAACGTCGACGCCCGCGGCTCGTGGACGTACAAGCTGGTGCAGTCCAGCAAGCGGTGCCGGGCGGCCCACACCGACCTCGGCACCGCAAGCTCGGCGCAGGACTGCGCCGCAAAGTGCCGCGCGTCTGCGGACGGCTGCGCGTACTTCACGTACGGGCACCGCGGTGGGAACTGCCACGCCGAGCACACCACCTCCTCCGCCTGCCCCGAGGGGCTCGAGCGGGCGGACAACCTCGAGCTGTACGCTCTCTTCCCGCCGTGGGACGAGGCCACCTCGCTCCGGATCGCGGCGCAGGACGCGGCGCCCGCCTCGTGCGCCGCCGCCTCGGGGGGCGCGGGCTGCGTGCTGCACGCGGCGGTCATCTGCGACGCGCCGCCATGCCACTTCTCGGTCGTTGCCGCCCCGGCCGACCAGCCGATCAAGCTGGTCGGCCAGGCGCAGCGGCGCGTGCGGCTTGCCAACGAGTGGGCCTACTTCTCCGTGCACGTGGGACAAGACGCGACGAACGTGGTCCTGACGATGCGCGTGGAGAGCGGCTCGCCCTCGCTCTGCGTCGTCGAGACGGTCGACACGGCCGACGACAGCTCCCCCGACTGGGAGGACTCGGGCAACTGGGAGGACGGCGCCTGTCCGCAGGCCCACCCCGCGAGGGCGGCGGACCCAAAGCTCGTGCTCCAGCAGTCGGAGGTGGCGGCGGACGCGTGGCTCAAGCGCAGCGATGGCGACGGCTCCTTCTTCACGCTCGAGCTCCGCCCGTCGGACAAGCGCTGGTGCACCAGCTGCTCCATCCTCCTCGCCGCCGCCTCGCCCGAGGCCGCGAGCACCTTCACCCTCACCGCCGCCATCGGCGGCGTCAGCCCGGCGGGCGGAGGGGGGCGTGGCGGCGGCGGCAGTACTGAGCTCGACACCAGCGAAGAGGCTGGGATGTCCGCCCTCGGCGTCTTCTTCCTGCTGCTCGCCCTCAGCTTCGTCGGCTACGTCTCTCTCTGGCTGACGCGGCGCAAGTTGTCAGGTGGCCTTGCCTCGCCCGCCAGGCACGTTGGCATGGCCCCAAAGTCTCACCTTCCACCTCGCACGCCGCTTCGTCCTCCAGGCCGCCACCTCGCCGTCGACTGCGAGACGTGGAACGCCTTCCTCGCAGACCACGCGGCCCTCGCGACGGAGTACTCATCGCGGATCGCATCGCGGATCGCCACGAGGCCAGCTGATCAAGAGGCATTGACGCTCACTGCCCGAACTAAGAGAGACCCCGCATTGACATGTTCTGCCTCCTATACAGGGTCAGCGGCTAGTGGATCCTGGGCCCATCAAGATTGCTGACATGTGCGAGCGAACAAAAAAGGCGCTGGTCAAAGAACTTTTCCTTCGAGTCGAAGGAAAAGATACCGACGACCAAGCCTGCGATGTGAATGTCGACAATGTCGAGGCCGTGGTGGTCGGTGAAGTCGAGTACTACTAGTCGCTACCGCGGTGCGTCTTCTGTGTTGAGCTACGCGCAGTAAGCTAGCGTGTAGAGTTCTTAGTTTTTAGTAGGTGTAGCGGCAGACCACCAGACCAGACCACCAGAGGCAGCAGCGGCCAGCGCCCTCGGCTGCCTCTTCCATCAAAGAGGTGTGAATGCTTGCAGCTAGCACGCGTCCCCTATGCATAGTATGGCTCCTGCCAGTGCACCAGACTTGCAGATGTGTCTTCAGAGGGGCGGGTTTTTGTGCCTAGGATAACGGCAGTATTATTTAGTGGGGGAAATGGTGATTTATTTTTTGAATGAACGCCTCGCGCAAAACCACCGCTACCATGCCACAGAAGACCCTTGTGGGGGCTATCCAGAACACCTAAGATCATGCCCTAGCTCTAAAGTGGGCCCGAGATATGCCAGCGAAGACGGCGGCATATGGGAGATGCCGAATAACCAGAACTCACCAAACAGTTCAACGAGGGCTACAAAACCGACCTGGCTGAGCCGGGCGAGGCGACGACGCGCTGGCCAATCAAGGCCTCGACTTTCTTTGGCGGCCACTGCTCCTCGGGGTGATGGGGGTGTGATGGAGGTGTGATGGGGGTGTGATGGTGTCCGAACGCAGCGCGAAAGCGAACCACAGCCGTTCGATGTAATAAAAGTAATGAGCGCGAGCTGAGGTCGAATCTGCGCAGCCGGCCCACAAGAGCGCCGCCCCAACCCGGGGGCAAAGACGAGATCAGCGAGGTCAAACTTTGGACCCCCCTCCGGGGTGGCTTGCCCGTTGGGGTCGGCCGCCGGCCGACACCGGAGGCAACCCCGGCTCCGTTGGAGACAAGTTCGCCTTCGGCAACACCGAAGAGCGCGCCCGCCTTGCAAACATGGGCTGCAAGCAACGCGGGTTCCGTGGTCAACGTGCGTTCGACCACACCACCGGCCAAGGCTACGTCAAGTCGCAGCGTGGCCACTACCATGACGGGATCTTCGGCAAACGAAACAAGTTCAACCTGCTTCTCCACGAGACATTCGGCGGCGGCTTCTCGCCAGAAGCCAGCCCGTGAGTCTCGCGCCCTGCAGCGGCCACGGGTCGAGGACATCGCGAGATTGGGCCCACCATCGCTGGGTTCCGGCTCTTTGAGAGGTGGGCACAATCTGGATCTACACCCTCCACACTCACGCGGCCACGGAGTTGCGCAGTTGCCCCTTCTCCGACTGCCCCGGCTAGGGGCAGTTCACCATGTAGTCAGCGCCCTCTGCGAATGCACGCACAATCACACCGTGTCTCATCGTAACATCGAGGTCTCGAAATACAAAGCGCCAAATCCGCAAATGAATAACTCTGCCCCCTCAGACTCTCGTTGAATGAGGACGTCGCGCAGACGCGTCGCGGAAAGCCATCGAGGTCGTTCTTTTCTTTCACAGTGGTAAGATTCTTTCACAGTGACACCTCGAGGTCGAGGTCGCCATTGGCCGCCTCCATGACCATGTGCATGTCGTCGTCGCCGTGGTCAAAACTGGGGGAAATCTCTCTCAAAACTGACGCAGCGCCTACGCGTGAGAACACCCGCACGCGTGTCAGGAGGCGCGGCCCTAGAGGGGGGGGGGGGGGAGGTGCGTCGGACACCGCGGCTGTCGAGCCCGCGGGCGTGGCGAGTCAGGCGGCGAGTCATCGCCGATGGGGGAGAAGGGCCCCTTGGACGGCGTGCCGGGCATGGTGTGCGACCGCACGATGGTCACCGCCGTCTGGTCGGGGCGCTGCGCCCAGAAGGACAATCTGGGACCAGGAGATGAAGCTCGAGCCCGCAGAGGTCCGACGGTCTGCCGTGCACGGGCCCACCGCTCCAGCTGACGCAGTGCAGGACTCCTCCCCACCCGCCGCTCCGTCCGCCGACCCCCTGCCCCTGAGTTGTTTCGAGAGCTGCGTCCGCGGCGTGGGGAGGGGCTCAGAGCGTGGGCCGGCGCTGGAGGCTGCGGCGCGTGCACGCACGGAGAGAGGGGCGGATGCCACGGGGTGGGTGGGTGGGGTTGGGGGGGGCTCACCGACCCGGGCTGGTGCTCGGCAGCACGGCGTCTGCGCGGACCCTCCCCCCGTGGGCATGCGGGGTGCGGCGCTGGCGCAGGGAGATGCCCAAGGGGATGGAGCTGAGGTACGAGCGCAGAGCCGCTACCTCGCTCCACAGTCCATGCCGCTCTCGGCGGACCGCGTTTCTCGAGCGCCGCCGCACGTAGGCGACGACGCAGCACTGCAAGGCGGAGAGGGTGAGGAGGAGGGAGACAAAGGGCAGGCCGGTGGAGACGAAGAAGCGGAGGTAGCCAGACGCGGGTCGGCCGGGCGGGCAGAGGGGCTCCTGACCACACACCATGGGACGATGGGAGGCGGGAAGGGGTCACGGGAATGGAAAGGAGAGGGGCTCAGGGTATCCGGCGCGGCGCCTGCAGCGCGTTTCCGCGGCCGAGCGGGTCGTCGCACGACGGGTACAGAAAGTTGAGGCCTTGGAGGTCGTCCTTGCTCAGGCATGTGCGCGCTCTGTGCTGCGTCATGGAGAGCATGAGAGAGCCGGTAGCGCCGCCTTTATTTTCTTCGAGCTCGATGTTTGCGGGTGTCAGAGGCCTGCGGCATGTCTCGGGTGCGCCGAGATGCACGCCCGCCTTGGCGCGCAAGTTGAGGCGCGGGAACTCGTCGGGATGGTCAAAGCCGAGGATGTGGCCCGCCTCGTGCGCGACTGTGGCCGTGAAATCATAGCAGTCCCAGCAAGGCAGAAAGACAAAGACGTAAAAGACGGGCGCCGCGGCGAGGCAGTAGATGGCGACGAGAAGGCTCGGGAGTGGCAGGCGTGCAAGGTTGCGGACGGCCGCGTCGCAGCGCGCCGAGACCACTGGCGGCCGTGCGAGGGGCTCGTCGTGGCACGCCGCCGTGGCCGTGCAGACAGGCCGGAGCAGGCAGAGGCAGCACAGGCAGCCGAGGACGAAGCTCAGGCTGCACACGAAGACCACCGCGTACCACTCGCCCCCGCCGTCGCTCGCGTGGAAACGGTGGCAGAAGGCGGCGTCCAGGTACCAGCACAGCTGTGAGTTGAGCACCACCTCCGACCGCCTAATACCGTTCCGCTGCTGCAGCGTCGTCCCCGACGTGAGCACCGTCGGCACGTGGTCGGCTTCATACTCGCTGATCGCGGCGTACCTCTCCTCGGGGTACCTCAGCTGCATGCCCTCGTGTATGCGGATGTCGGTGGTCAAGAAGAGCTCGGCGTTGCCACACGCGGCGCCCTGGCGCCCTCCCGCCTCCCACTCCTGCCAGCACGCCTCGGAGACGTCCTCGAAGTGAATGCGCTTGTGGTTGATAGCCCACGTGTCGAGAGCTGTCGCCACCGCCTGGACATACCCTCCTGGTTATCCTCGCGATGGTCTTGCGATAAAAATGCTACTTCGGGCTGTGGTGGGGCTGTCGCGACGGTAGGCTCCCTACTACCTGGTGGCGTGCGCCTCTCGGATGTCGTCGCAGCTGACAAAGCGAGAGGAGAGACTGTAGCCCATCTCGCGGTGCTGGGGCAGCATCTGGTGGCAGAATTGAGGGTGCAATGCGTAGGTGATGCCCGCTGCGAGTCCATCTGATAATGGTGCTCCGCCCGACGGCAGCGACCAAAGCTTCGCGACATTGTACAGGTCGACCCTGGGCCAGCTCTCCTCGCACGAGGCTTGAGCCGCGTACCCGTTGCTGCACGGGCTGTGGAGCACCCAGCCGCGCACACGGGGCGCCGCTGCCAGCACACTGGCGATAAGTTTGGCGTGCATGAATGCCTGCTCGGCAGGGATGCTTGTCGTCAATCCGGGCGCTGGGCGCTTAGCGACGGAGAGCGGGGCTTGTTGGGAGGAGGAGGCTGTTGCAGCGGGGCAGCGGACATGGCGAGGACACACCTCTGGACGGAGAGCGGAAACTTGTTGGGAGGAGGAGGCTGTCGCAGCGGGGCAGCGGACAGGGCGAGGACACACCTCTGGCGGCGTCGCACTTCCCGATTCGCAGAGCAGGTTCGGATGAGTCTCCCCACATGTGCGATGGCGTGTCACGCTGGAATTTCTTTTTTTTACCATAGGTGCCTGCGAGTTGATGCCCCAGCTCTTGGGCGTGGACAGGGGTCCGATTTTTGGTCCATGGTTTGGTTGCTCACAACGTGCCTCACGCACGCATACACGATCAGCAGGAGGATGTACGAAGAGATTAGGAGCAGCAGGGACCCGAGGGACCATGTGGAAGACGGCTAGTGCTAGTCCCCCATCGGGAGGACGACCCCGGCTAGTCGCCGACCACACCCACAAAGAACCCTGCACAAAGATCGCAAGGGCGGGGACCTGTTCCTTTTTACCCCGATCTCACAGTATCTAGATAGAGAGGTGTCCGTTTTTATTTATTTATTTATACTTATACACGATGCGCCCCCCCGCCCATCACCCCCCAGCACCGAGATGCCATCCTCTCAGTGATGCGGCGCCCGCCCCCTCATCCCACGCCTCATGCCCCTCATGCCATACGCGCCGTCATCCCTCGCCTCATGCCGCAATCTTCTTCTCCAGCGCCTCGAGCAGGTCCTTGGAGTTTCGCCGACCCGTCTTCGCCGCCAGCACCGACGGCTTGTTGCCATAGGCGTCCGATGCCGACGAGGCGCCGTGCTCGATGAGCGTCTGCGTCATGTTTTCATTCTCGCTGAAGGCCGCCAAGTGCAGCACGGAGCGGCCGCACTTGTCGGTGTGATCAATCAGCCGCTTGCGCTCGGACGCGCGGACGCACTCCAGCAGCGTCTGCGGGCGGGGGTCGGCCGCGGGGCCGTGGAGAGTAAGGTGTCGCTGCATGGGGGAAGGGCAGAGAGGTGGTGGTGGCGCATCACCGTAATGGCGTCCTCGGCCTTGTGGGCCACAGCGCAGTGCAGCGCCGTGCCACCAGCCGCCTGCGGAGGGCGGAGCTTGGGCAGCATTTCGCCTCGTGACGGCCACCAACCGCGCGCTCCAGCAGCACTAGGGTGAAGGCATCTAGTCATGGCTACGTTCTCGACGAAGGCGTCGGAACCGTACTCGATGAGGAGCTTCACGAGGTCGGGGTGGTTGAACTCGGCCGCGAGCATCAGCGGAGTCTTGCCCTGCAAGGCGGCGCATGCAACACGAGCTCAATGCCGTGGGCGCCGCTGAGTAGCAAAGGAGCCGGGATTCATGGCAGCTACTGGGTGGCGTGTGAGCCGTGGCTAGCTGCTTGTGGCCGCCTGTTTGTCTTGCCAGTTCAAGTCGACGAGCTTGGAGTCGCTTTGCACGAGCACCGCCCGGAGCAGCTTCTCCTTGCCGCCGCGCGCGAGCTTGTGCAGCGGCATCTCGCCCTGAGAGTGTGGCGCGGCCGGAGGCGTGTGTGTGAGGGTGCATGTGGTGCGCGACCTTGCTAGGCTGCTCTCGGCGAGCAGAGATTGGGGGAGAGCTAGGGCTTGGGCGGCTTCCTTTTCATCCTCAATCCGGACGCTCAGATTCTGGCTGATGAGCTCGTCGATGGCCCTCGCGTCGCCGAGCTCGCTCGCAACCAGCAGCCGCACATGCGCATCGAGACCCTCCCGGCCGACCGACGCCGGCATCTTGTAGGCCGTCACGCCGGCAGCCTTGCGCTCCGACTCGCTCAGAATCGTGACTGGCCTATACGGCTCATCGATGCGCCCGCTCACGCTGTCGAGGTGGCACAGCTCGGCTACCGCGTGGCTATTCTCGGCTAGAGGCGGAGCGCGCCGCCTCACGCCGTCGAGCCCGCGAGACGTGCGCCTTGCTGGCGCCGGCGCGGCCGGCGCTTCGGCGGGCTGCTTCTGCACCTCGTCTGCCCGCCGCGCCTCAACCAGCGCATCTTGAAGCTACGGCGCGGCGCGAAGCGGCAAGGTGGTGAGTGGTCGAGAGACGGTAGAGGAGGCGGCCCAAGCTCGGAGCTTGCGCGCCGTGGCGCGCTCCCAGTCTGCCTCAATCCACTGCCCCGGCCTCTACCCCCTCCCCCTCTGCGCGCACCTTGAGCATCTCCCAAATCTGCTCATCACTCATGCCGTGAGCGCCGAATCCGCCCATGTCGAAGCCGTAGTAGGCCGCCAGCTCCTTGAGGTCCAGCTCACCGTTGCCGTCCGCGTCCATCGAGGCCCAAAGCCCCTCAAACTCCGCCGCCTCCATCTCTGCACCGAGGGCGGGCAGAGCGGCATCGCGCAGAGTGAGAGCCAGCGCCGGGGCGGTGGGGCCGTCCGCGCGCGGCCGGCGCCTGGGCGGATCAGCAGGTAGGCCATCCTGAACTCATCCTACCAGGGAGGTCGCCGCGTCAGCAGGCGCTTTGACACGCGAGCAGGGGCAGCGGGCTTGTGAGCGACGGCGCGTGCTGCCAGGAAAATTCTGGCTGGCTGACGCGCTCGCGTGCGAGGCTGACGTATACTCGCCTTTGTGACGACGCCGTCGCTGTCCTTGTCGAGGTGGGCAAGGATCTCGCGAAAGTCCTCCTCGGAGATGTCTCTCGGCGCAGCAGGCATGCTGACGACACCCTGTGTGGCGGGGCACTCAGTAGCCGTTACAAGTTGTCTCTGATTCAGGCAGGTCCGTCAATTAAGAGATAGTAGGAAAGTTCAATGCCTGGGTCGGTTACTGACTGCACTCCAAGCCTCCAAGGGCATGAGCCTCCCTCTTACAAAGCTAAAGAGACGACTCAGAGGACTATCAATCATGAACATGCAAACACAGCAAACACAGGCGATGCCCATTCCGCATTCGGCATCGGCAGGGCCAGTGGAGGGGCGGGGGACTTCCTCCGCATCAGCCGCGGCCAAGCGCCATGGACGCCGGCCTCGGTGGCAGCCGGAAGAACTGCCTGTCGTTTTGGTAGAGGAGCGAGTTTTGCAGCCGCTGCTCGAGCGGCAGGTTACAGTAGCAGCGGTCGCCCAGGCAGCCGGGCGTCTCATTCGTCGCGCGAACCTTCGCCACCAGATCATCCCACGCCTCCGTCTTGACCAGCGCCCCGCTCTCTGAGAGATGCGCCACCCTCCGCACGCGGTACTGGTAGTTGATGCTCGACAGGCCCTGCTCGGGGTAGAACGAGACGCGAAGGAGGTCCTGCGCCGCGTCAAAGGCGACCGGCTCTCCGCCCGGCGCGACGAGCGTCTCACCCGCAGTCGGGATGAAGATGTAGTTGCCTGTCCCAATGTCGATCCACCGCTGATCCGGGGACGACACCATCGTCATTGGCGTGCGGCGCAGGCAGCAGCCGGGCAGACTGCGGGCGGAGCCGCACGGGGCGACGGCCCAGCAGGGGAGGCAGAGGCAGGGGCAGCAGCCAACCGGCGGGCACGTGATCGGGGAGAAGGGCGGGCCGTTCCACACTCCAAAGCAGGTCGGGTCCCGCGTGAAGTTGAGGCCGAGGTCCTTGGTGCCGAGAAATGGCGCCGTCGCTGTCGCCGGCTGCCAGTAGGCGTCCTGGAACGTGACTAGCACCTCGTTGGCGAGGTTGTCTTGCATCCAGTAGAGGCCCTTTAGCCGCTCCGGGCACTGTTCCGGTGCCACGCCTCGCTGGAGCATCTCGATGAAGACCTCGTCTCCGCTCTCCAGCAGCGACAGCTCGGTGAACCCAAAGCAGCACTTCATGTAGCCCAGACAAACGGCGGCGGGGCACAGCGCGCATAGCGGCGACCGGTGCGAGAACCAATTCACCGTGCCGAGATTGCACGAATCGGGCCATGGCAGCCCGAGGCAGCAGCTGACAAAGGTCTGAGCCGGGTTGAGCTGCGGCGGGTCGTAGGCGCCACCGTCGGCCGCCATTTTTGCCAGCGACGGATAGTCGCGGTCGAGCTTTGCGAGGGTTTCCGCTGGGCCGTTGACAATGGAGAATAGCAAGGGCGTGGCGCCGCAGCACCACGTGTCGGTCAAGTCGGCAGTGCTTTGCATCGACCGAGCCGACCTAGCGCGCGCTCGCGATGCCGGGCAACGGGCGGAAAGCGGGCAGCCTGAGATCGACTGCCCCGGCGCGCCTCGCGGGCTCTTGCCGCCCTACCGCCCTAACGGGTCCGTACTGGAGTGGCGGCGCTCCAAGAGTTGGAACAGGTGCTCTTTTTCCTGCACCCGAGACACCAAAAGAATTTTCAGCAGTCTGGGAATACCTTGGTTGAGCGCGCCGTTTTGAGTGGCCGATTTCGCCCTCGACCCGGTCGCCGCCGATGGCTCGCGTTGTGCGGGTCCAGCGCCGCGGCCAGCCAGCGACACCCTCGCCGGCGGCCGGGCGGGTGCGGACGCGAGCTGAGTGCGAGGTATCGCCGCTGTTTGAGCTCACCTCTGCCGACGGCGGTGCGCCGAGAGAGCCGCGCCCGGCTGACGCCGCGAGTCGGCCAGTAGTTTGCGAAGATAACATTCGACAATGGCGACGAGACTTGGAATTTGGCCGCTCTACTACATTTACTCAGCACCTGTGCGCTCACAATACCCGCCCCGACGCGCCCTGCCTCGTAGGTGAGGCTGAGCCGGACGCAGCGCCGCTCGCGCTGCGCGCGCCAAGGATACAGCGGCCTCGGCCGCGAGGGAGGCGCCAGTCGGGCGCGTCGGCCGTGCCACTGCGCAATGTGCTGCCGCGCACTTACGACGCCGTCAACGAGCTCCTCTTCGCGCTCTCAGAGCGCCATCCGCTCTCCATCCGGTGCGGGCTGGCCGCACACTTCTCTCCTCCCTCCTCTCTCCTCGCTACCCTCCCCTCGCCCAGGCTCGCCTCATGAGTGGCCGCGGTTGTCGCCGGTGCTCGCCCGCGACGCGTCGCTCCGTCCCACGTCGCAGGCCAGGCAAACAGGACTGGCTCGTCGACGGGAGTGCCAACGTGCGGATACCACACACAGGGCTTTCGACTCGTGATGCCTATCGTGTGCTGCTAGAGGAATGGGGAGCGCGCCAGCGGGGCTCGCTTTTTTCTAGGAGCAACAACATCGCCATTCGATTGCTATATTTTTCAAGCCCCCTGTACGAGAACCGTGCCGACCTGGAGCCACTTGCCGCGCGTGCCCCGCCCGGTGACACAAGTGCTCCATTCTCAAAAAAACTGTTCAGTTTTCAAAGGCAAAACACAACGCTCTGCGGTTGGTGCACCCCTCACACTGACACATTCCCCTCATCCCCGACCCTTGGCTGAGCACATCTACCTGCGAGCTAGCATCTCCGCATTTTCTCTTCCAGTCATCCGCCCGCGCCGCGCGCCATCACTGGGCGTCTAGTGCAGCCACTGACAGAGCTATTCCGAAGGAGTGGTCGACGCCTCGCCTAGAGTTCGGGTGGACTTGCGCACTGCTTAGCCCTGAGGGGGGAGTGTGTGTGAGGTGGTGTAATGTTGTCCCGTTTCAGGCGGCAGGTCAGGGGATTAGCCGGGAGGATTCGGCAGCTCAGCCGGGGGCTGAGCGTCTGCAGGCAGCCTTCCGCCCGCGCCGAAATTCACAGCCCTCCCGGGCCGACGGGGTGCTCCTTGGATCGGGCCCCGCTCCCCGCTTTTCCTGTACCTGGACTGTCCGGGTTAGGAGGGTGAGAGTATTGGGTGGGCGAGGGCAGTACATCTGGCGGGTGGCGATTGAGGGACAGCGTGGGTTGATTGGGGGGTAATGGGCGCGCGGGCGGCGCTTCGTGGTCCTGGGCGAGCAGGGGAAGTGGTTAGGAGTCTTGGGCCCAGAGTTGAGGATTGTCGAGATGTCATGCGAGAGCGGTGGGTGGGCGAAGTGCTCCATTCTCAGCTGTGGGCGCGGCCGTGTGCGCGCGCGTGGAGGCACGCATGGAACGTGCAAAGCGACTGCGCATCAAGACGCGGCGGGAGAGAGTGTAGTGCAAAATCATCGCAGTCACGCGATCACGGATACGTGTGTGCACAAAAAAAGCACAGGCGGACACTACATGCACAAGTGACCGTAATGGCCGTCGCGAACGGAACGACACGCGAGCCCGGACGCAAGCGTGCGCGTGTCGTCCCGCCACGCTGCGGCGAAAACTCGGCTGGCGCAGTAATCGCCGCAGTAATCGCCGCTCCACGACCGGGCGGCCTCGTCTCTTGACGGGGAAGAGCCGCCTGCCGGTCGAGAGTGGGCGATGAGGCGAGAGCGAGAGACGCGCGCACGCGGCGGCGCGCGCACGCGGCGCGCGGGTCCGCACAGGAGCGCGTGACAGCGACGGCGCCCTCGCTCCGGTACCTGCGAGGCACAGGTATCGTTGGTGCGTGCTGCCGTGCCGCTGCGGCGACGAGGGCCGCCGCTATCCGCTGCAGGCGCGCCGTGACGGTGCCGAGGCGGGCCAGGCAAGCGTGGCGCGGTGACGGGAGGGCGGGCGGTGGATCGGGGCGGCTCTGGGTCGCGCGGCGGGGCGGCGGCTCGCACGGGCGACGGCGAGAGAGGCGCACCGGAGAGCGGTATCAAAGCTCGAAGATAACACTTGAACTGGCCGCTGTCGAGCTGGCCGGGCGTGCCTCGGACGCCCAACTATCGGATGGACCGGCCTCTACCCGCGCCCCGGCGACGTGCCACCTGCGAAAGCGGCGCAAAGGCGGTGTCGTCCGAAAGGCGCTTGCGCGGCTGTTGCGCAGGCCGCGGTGCGTCCTGACGCGGACTGTGCGTGCTCCGTGGCGGGTGCGTGGTACGAGGCGGGCACTCGAGCTTACCCGGGGCAATTTCCGTCACATGCGGGCGCGTGCGGGCGGCCGCAAGCTCACCGTCCACTCAAAAGCCTCCATCGCGCTCAACCCAGGTATTCCCAGACTGCAGCGGCCGGCTCGTGCGACAGCCAGCCGCTCTGGAACAAGGCTCGCGCTCGGCGCGTACGGCCTCGATTCGCGCCATTCTTCTTTCTGCCTAGCCGCCCTGGACCGGCTGCACGCGTGCGCGAGCGGTGGACCGTTCGCGACGCTCGACGGCGCCGCCACCAGCTCGCGACGCCTGCGCTCGGCGCCAGGCGCGAGAGCGGCACATATCTCCCTCTCTCGGCGTTGCATCTCGCCGCTTCCGAGGCCCCCACTCGTGCACGCTGATCCGAGGGCGCCGTCCCCGCCGCGCAGGCCGTCTCGGTCGCGCTGATTTCCGCCTCGGCCTTCCGCGCGCTCCGCCTCGTCGCTGCTTGCGAGCGCGCGCAGCCCCTGCCCTAGCCGCCGCCGCGGCGCGCCGTCAACCGACGGCCGGTCTCACGGCCGGGCGGCACGGCCTCCGGTGCCGCCGGTCGAAGCGCGCCGCTCGACGCGCCGGTGCTTGCCGTTGCCTCTTGAGAGACGCGTGTCGTGTTTCGCGTGTGGCTCCTCTTTGTTTTTGCACCGTCGGCCCGAATTCTTAAAGCTCGGCGGACTCTTCGCTGGCGTGCGCAAATGCGGCGTCTGCCTCCACGTCAGCGTCCCCTCCCGAAGGAGGCTCGCTACCCTGGTCGTCCTCGCACTCTCCCGACCCGAGTATCAGCAGCCCAGCCGCCTCCCCGGCGGACTGGTCACATTCATCCTCGCCGTCCTCCTCTCCATCCTCGAACGAGGCGGCCCTATCCGCGCCCTCCTCCTCGCCCGAGGCGCGCGCCGCGCGCCCGGGGCTCTCCTCTTGCGATGCCTCCTCCTCCTCCTCCTCCTCCTTGCCGCCGTCGCCGACGTCGAGGGTCTCGGAGAGGATCTCGGTCTCGTCCACCGCCGCCATGCCGTCGTCCGTCTGCTGCTCTAGCCGCCGCAAAAGCGTACGGTCCTGCGCCGCCCGCCTCTGCGGATCGGCGAGCTGCGCGAGCCCGCCCTCGCATGCCGGCGCCACCTCGACGCAGCTCCCGATCTGCGACTGTGGCGAGTGCGGCGGCGCCGCGAGCCACGTGAAGGCGAGCAGCGCGCCGCCCGCCGCGCACGCCTGGTTCCGGCGCGCCACGCACTCGAACTCCTCTCGGCGATTAATCCCGCCTCCGGCGCGCGAGAAGGGCTCGCTTCCACTGGCAAAACGCTTCTTGCGCTGCCGAGCTACGGCGGCGGCGCGCCGCACGGCCGGCGGTGCCAGGCGCCACCTGACCTCGCGCGAGATGTGCGCGAGGCGCAGCTGAGCGCGGTGCTGGCTCTGCGAAATCCCCGCCCCTTGCAGGTGGCGCAAGAGCTGCGCGGGGCAGGGCAACGAGAGGTGAGCGTCGTGGTCGCCGTCCAGAGAGAGGTGCGATGGCAGAGCTTTGAGCACGCACCCGCTGCCGACGTCGTCGAGCAGCAGCACGAGGTCCTTGTACTCCATGGGGGGACCGTCGATCAGGTTGCCGCGCGGGTAGCCCTCGGCGCGGAGCAGCTGCACGCCGGCGGGCAGCGGCTCGAGCGCTCCGTCAACCCACCGCGCGAGCAGCTTGGCGGCGTGGGGGAACGTGCGCCACGCCGCCTCGTCGAGCAGATGATCCGAGCGCGCCTTCACCTTACCCTCCTTCTGCGTCGCAGATATGCCGTCCCGCCACGCGCCCGCGTCGGCCGCGAGCGCCATCGAGCGCAGCCCCAGTGAATTGCTCCCTGCCGATCGGAGGGTGGAGCTGGATGCGGGGCGGCAGGATAGTATGGCCGAGAGACCACGCGACGAGGTAGAGGGTGCGCGGCGGGCCGCTCTGCCGCAGCGGCAAGCAGCCTTCCACGCCGACGCGATAGACGAGGCCGGTGCGCGAGCCAGAGATCTGCAGCTCGATGAGCGACGAGCGAGCCACGAGGCTGTCGATGGCCTCCTGGCGAGCCGCGCTGTCGGACCCGCTCACTGGAGCGCCGCTCGCCGACGTCAGCAGCAGCAGGAGCACCGCCGAGCGCGGCCGCTCGCCGAGCGCGCCTCCGAGGCCGCCGCGGCAGCCGCGAGCGCGTCGAGGCCGGCTCGTACGCGACGGCGTCGAGGCCGGACGGCGCGGACCGGATGGACATCAAGAGCGGGTCGGGAGGAGGGCTCAGTATCGAGAACTGCAGGGCTGCAGCTGGCGAGCTCGGCGCCCTATGGGCGTGGCCTGTTCCGACGCTGCACGAGCCGGGCAGGAGGACTGCTGACGGGGTTTGTAGCGGCGAGAGACTGCGAAAAGAGTTTAAACAAAAGAACTCTCTCTCACAGCAGACAGGCTCGACACAGGCGAAAAGAGATACGAAGAGGCAGACTCCCCGGGTGGGCGACGGCTAGCGCATCACACTCCTCTCCTTAAAATCCCTGTGTGGTGGCGGCGTGCCGTTCTCCCATCCCTCCCTTTGTGTTTTCTTTCTTTCTTTCTTTGACGGGGTTTGTAAGAGATACGAAGAGGCGGACTCCCCAGGGTGGGCGACGGCTAGCGCATCACACTCCTCTCCTTAAAATCCCTGTGTGGTGGCGGCGTGCCGTTCTCCCATCCCTCCCTTGGGTTGTGTGTTTTCTTTCTTTCTTTGACGGGGTTTGCAGACGGGGTTTGCAGCGCGGCAAGGGCCGCGGTGCCAGGGGCCGTGCCGATGCTGGACCCCGTCTCGTTGACAAGAACGCGCTGTCCGCGCGCGGCAGCGGGCCCTCGCGCCAGTCGCGCTCGCCGTCGCCCGACTCTCCGCCCGCCAAGCGGGCCGCCTCCGCTGACTCGTCCGGCTATGAAACCGATACGCCGGACGAGGTGCAGCAGGAGGCGGTCCGCAGGGTATGCGGCGCGCTCGGCATGAGGGAGCAGTTCGAGGCGGCGATGGCGGCGGGCGAGCTGCTCGAGATGCTCGAGAGCTTGCCGCGAGGGGCGGTCGAGGCCTCTGTCCGACAGATGCGGGGTTACAACCGCACGGGCGAGTGGCCAGAGCCCATTCTCACCAGCCCTGCCCCGCAGCGCGGCCGCTCGCCAAGCCCCGTCGATGAGTGGTCAGATGGTTAGTGCCCGAGAGCGAGGGGTCCGGGGGGGAGCACAAACATAGGACGCCCAGCCTTGCCCTCGTGCCGCCGAGTGCATATCCTATGCGAGAGAGATCCCCTGTGCCCTGTGCCCAGCCCTCTCCGCGCGGCGATGCGCCCTCCCCCCTCGCTTTTGCAAAATCCTGCAAAGGTGGGGACGTGTCTGTCCTCGACCCAGCCCTAGCTTGGGATGTCCGTTGTATTTATTTATTTATGACGGGGTTTGCGATGAGGAGCGATTTTCGGTTCGGCATGATTTTTTCTTTTTTCAGAGAGGCGCCTGGGAAGGCGGCGCCGGCTTGCGCAATGCTGCCCGAGGCCTTTCGCTTCTGGGAGCTCACACGGATGAGCCTCGCGGCCTGGGGAGTCGCTGGATCGATCGGCTACGTTCTCTGTGCGCGCACGCCTCGCACCCTCGATACTCCCGCGTGCTGACCGCCACCGCGCCTTCAGATCTGAGGCCGAGGCTGTACCCGCCTCCGCCAGAGCACCGCAAGGCTAAGGCCTTCACGCCGAGAGAGGCGCCGCCGGTAGTGATGTACCGCTCGGCGTTCTCTACAGCCTCGCTCTCTCACGGAACGCGATCTCACGGATCACGCGCTGAGGAGGCCGCACGCGCTCGCCGTTTCGGGCATACTCACGATCGCCGTTTTGTAACGCAGGTGGAAGAATGGAACGCTGGAAAGGGCGTCAAGCCGGTGCAATGAGCGTCGTCGTCGGTGGTCGTGCTCCACAGTCGCTGAGGTCGCTGTCTTATTCGGGTGACAGAGAGCGACAGGGCGGCTAGGATACAAGGTAAGGTAAGGTAAGGTAAATTTCTCCACACACACAAAGTGGTGGGGCAAGGGGCGACCCTCGCACACCGTTCCCTTCACCGTTTCTCTAAGATCGCGATGAGCGCTCAGAGAGTGTGGCGCGATACGCACCGCAAGCGGGCTACACAAACTTGAGCTCCTTTTGGCCCCAGCCGAACGCGGCCTTGTGCTGCTCGAAGAGGAGCGTGTAGCCGTCGAGCAGCTTTGCGTGGTACTCGTCAACCAGCTGCTTTGAGGGCCTGTCCACCCGTGGGCACCTACACTTCAGCGTGTCGTTTGCAAGACGCTCCGCAAGGTGGTTCGTGGTACTCGGCCGGTGCGTGGTACTCGATCGGCGCGCCGAGGGCGGTGCACACCGCGACCCTGCGCGGGGGGCCGACCGGCCAGCCCCACCGACCTGCGCAGGCCGGGCGTTCGGGCGGTCCGTGGCAGCTTGGCCGGGCGTTCGGGACTGTTTCGGCGGGCGACGGTCCGTTGCAGCTTGTCGGGGCAATGCCGGGGCAATGCCGGGCAAGGGGGCAGTGTTGTGGCAGAGTCGTGGCAGTGCCGTGGGAGAGTCGTGGCAGTGCCGTGGCTGCGAATCGCGGCGTAAAATCGGCAGCGCGCGACGTCGAGCAACCTCGGGCAACCTCGGGCAATCTCGGGCAATCTCGCCGTAAAAGGGGCAGAGCGCGACGTCGAGCGCGACCGAGAGGCGCTCGAGGATGCGGAACGGGTCGGCCACGACCGTCCACAGGGAGGAGTGCCTAGGGGGGCGAGATTGCCCGAGATTACCCGAGATTGACCGCGACTGCTCGACGTCCAAAGGCAGCGGCTGGCCTAGAGGACGGTTCCGCGAGCCGTCTGCTGGGGCTCTCGTGGCGAGCCGCTCTCGGAGAAGTCCGGGGGCGCCCAAAGCCGTAGACGGGGACGATCGGCACGCCCGCCTTTGGGCGAGATGAGCCGAGATTGGCCGAGATTGGCCATGATTGGCCGAGACTGGGCCGAGATGTCAGCGGCACGCCCTTTACGGAGGAGGCGAGATTACCCGAGATTACCCGAGATTACCCGAGATTACCCGAGATCCAACAAGCCCGCCTTGAGGGCGATGGCCACGATCGCCTTGCGCTTTTTCACCCACGCCTTCTCCACCCGCTCGTCCGACTGGAACATGCCCGCGATCCCGTCCAGCACGACGCCGACGCTCTCGCGCCGCTCGAGCGCTTTACTCA